GCCCAGGCCTAGGCCTAGGCCCAGGCCCAGGCCTAGGCCTAGGCCTAGGCCCAGGCCCAGGCCCAGGCCTAGGCCCAGGCCTAGGCCCAGGCCTAGGCCCAGGGCCCAGGCCTAGGCCCAGGCCTAGGCCCAGGCCCAGGCCCAGGCCCAGGCCCAGGCCTAGGCCTAGGCCTAGGCCCAGGCCCAGGCCTAGGCCCAGGCCCAGGCCCAGGGCCCAGGCCCAGGCCCAGGCCCAGGCCCAGGCCTAGGCCCAGGCCTAGGCCTAGGCCCAGGCCCAGGCCTAGGCCCAGGCCCAGGCCCAGGCCCAGGCCCAGGCCCAGGGCCCAGGCCCAGGCCCAGGCCTAGGCCCAGGCCCAGGCCCAGGCCTAGGCCCAGGCCCAGGCCCAGGCCTAGGCCCAGGCCCAGGCCCAGGCCTAGGCCCAGGCCCAGGCCTAGGCCTAGGCCCAGGCCCAGGCCTAGGCCCAGGCCCAGGCCTAGGCCCAGGCCTAGGCCCAGGCCTAGGCCTAGGCCTAGGCCTAGGCCCAGGCCTAGGCCCAGGCCCAGGCCCAGGCCTAGGCCTAGGCCTAGGCCCAGGCCCAGGCCTAGGCCCAGGGCCTAGGCCTAGGCCCAGGCCTCAGGCCTAGGCCTAGGCCCAGGCCCAGGCCCAGGCCTAGGCCTAGGCCTAGGCCTAGGCCCAGGCCCAGGCCCAGGCCTAGGCCCAGGCCTAGGCCCAGGCCTAGGCCCAGGCCTAGGCCCAGGCCTAGGCCCAGGCCCAGGCCTAGGCCTAGGCCCAGGCCTAGGCCTAGGCCTAGGCCTAGGCCTAGGCCTAGGCCCAGGCCTAGGCCTAGGCCCAGGCCCAGGCCTAGGCCTAGGCCCAGGCCTAGGCCTAGGCCTAGGCCTAGGCCCAGGCCTAGGCCCAGGCCTAGGCCCAGGGCCTAGGCCTAGGCCTAGGCCTAGGCCTAGGCCTAGGCCTAGGCCTAGGCCTAGGCCTAGGCCTAGGCCTAGGCCTAGGCCCAGGCCTAGGCCTAGGCCTAGGCCTAGGCCTAGGCCTAGGCCTAGGCCTAGGCCTAGGCCTAGGCCTAGGCCCAGGCCTAGGCCTAGGCCTAGGCCTAGGCCCAGGCCTAGGCCTAGGCCTAGGCCTAGGCCCAGGCCTAGGCCTGTGGCCTAGGCCTAGGCCTAGGCCTAGGCCTAGGCCTAGGCCTAGGCCTAGGCCTAGGCCTAGGCCTAGGCCTAGGCCTAGGCCTAGGCCTGTGGCCTAGGCCCAGGCCTAGGCCTGTGGCCTAGGCCTAGGCCTAGGCCTAGGCCTAGGCCTAGGCCCAGGCCTAGGCCTAGGCCTAGGCCTAGGCCTAGGCCCAGGGCCTAGGCCTAGGGCCTAGGCCCAGGCCTAGGCCCAGGCCTAGGCCCAGGCCTAGGCCCAGGCCTAGGCCCAGGCCCAGGCCTAGGCCTAGGCCTAGGCCTAGGCCTAGGCCTAGGCCTAGGCCTAGGCCTAGGCCTAGGCCTAGGCCTAGGCCTAGGCCTCAGGCCTAGGCCTAGGCCTAGGCCTAGGCCTGTGGCCTAGGCCTAGGCCTAGGCCTAGGCCTAGGCCTAGGCCTAGGCCTATGGCCTAGGCCTAGGCCTAGGCCTAGGCCTAGGCCTAGGCCTAGGCCTAGGCCTAGGCCTAGGCCTAGGCCCAGGCCTAGGCCTAGGCCTAGGCCTAGGCCTAGGCCTAGGCCTAGGCCTAGGCCTAGGCCTAGGCCTAGGCCTGTGGCCTAGGCCTAGGCCCAGGCCTAGGCCCAGGCCTAGGCCTAGGCCCAGGCCTAGGCCTAGGCCTAGGCCTAGGCCTAGGCCTAGGCCTAGGCCTAGGCCCAGGCCCAGGCCTAGGCCTAGGCCTAGGCCCAGGCCTAGGCCTAGGCCCAGGCCTAGGCCCAGGCCCAGGCCCAGGCCTAGGCCTAGGCCCAGGGCCTAGGCCTAGGCCTAGGCCTAGGCCTAGGCCTAGGCCTAGGCCTATGGCCTAGGCCTAGGCCTAGGCCCAGGGCCTAGGCCTAGGCCTAGGCCTAGGCCTAGGCCTAGGCCTAGGCCTAGGCCTAGGCCCAGGCCTAGGCCTGTGGCCTAGGCCTAGGCCTAGGCCCAGGCCTAGGCCTAGGCCTAGGCCTAGGCCCAGGCCTAGGCCTAGGCCTAGGCCTAGGCCCAGGCCTAGGCCCAGGCCTAGGCCTAGGCCTAGGCCTAGGCCTCAGGCCTAGGCCTAGGCCTAGGCCTAGGCCCAGGCCTAGGCCTAGGCCTAGGCCTATGGCCCAGGCCTAGGCCTAGGCCCAGGCCCAGGCCCAGGCCTCAGGCCTAGGCCTAGGCCTAGGCCTAGGCCCAGGCCCAGGCCTAGGCCTAGGCCTAGGCCCAGGCCCAGGGCCTAGGCCCAGGCCTAGGCCCAGGCCCAGGCCTAGGCCCAGGCCCAGGCCTAGGCCCAGGCCTAGGCCCAGGCCTAGGCCCAGGCCTAGGCCCAGGCCTCAGGCCCAGGCCTAGGCCCAGGCCTAGGCCTAGGCCCAGGCCCAGGCCTAGTGGCCTAGGCCTAGGCCTAGGCCTAGGCCTAGGCCTAGGCTCAGGCCTAGGCCTAGGCCTAGGCCTAGGCCTGTGGCCTAGGCCTAGGCCTAGGCCTAGGCCTGAGGCCTAGGCCTAGGCCCAGGCCTAGGCCCAGGCCTAGGCCTAGGCCTAGGCCTAGGCCCAGGCCTAGGCCTAGGCCTAGGCCCAGGCCCAGGCCTAGGCCTAGGCCTAGGCCTAGGCCTAGGCCCAGGCCTAGGCCCAGGCCTAGGCCCAGGCCCAGGCCCAGGCCTAGGCCTAGGCCCAGGGCCTAGGCCTAGGCCCAGGCCTAGGCCCAGGCCCAGGCCCAGGCCCAGGCCTAGGCCTAGGCCTAGGCCCAGGGCCTAGGCCTAGGCCCAGGCCTAGGCCCAGGCCCAGGCCCAGGCCCAGGCCTAGGCCTAGGCCTAGGCCTAGGCCTAGGCCTAGGCCTAGGCCTAGGCCTAGGCCTAGGCCCAGGCCTAGGCCTAGGCCTAGGCCTAGGCCTAGGCTCAGGCCTAGGCCTAGGCCTAGGCCTAGGCCTAGGCCTAGGCCTAGGCCTCAGGCCTAGGCCTAGGCCTAGGCCTAGGCCTAGGCCTAGGCCTAGGCCTAGGCCTAGGCCTAGGCCTAGGCCTAGGCCTAGGCCTAGGCCCAGGGCCTAGGCCTAGGCCTAGGCCTAGGCCTAGGCCTAGGCCCAGGCCTAGGCCTAGGCCTAGGCCTAGGCCTAGGCCCAGGCCCAGGCCTAGGCCTAGGCCCAGGCCTAGGCCTAGGCCTGAGGCCCAGGCCTAGGCCTAGGCCTAGGCCTAGGCCTAGGCCTAGGCCTAGGCCTAGGCCCAGGCCTAGGCCTAGGCCCAGGCCCAGGCCTAGGCCTAGGCCTAGGCCCAGGCCCAGGCCTAGGCCCAGGCCCAGGCCCAGGCCTAGGCCTAGGCCTAGGCCTAGGCCTCAGGCCTAGGCCCAGGCCCAGGCCTAGGCCTAGGCCTAGGCCCAGGGCCTAGGCCTAGGCCTAGGCCTAGGCCTAGGCCCAGGGCCCAGGCCCAGGCCTAGGCCCAGGCCCAGGCCTAGGCCTAGGCCCAGGCCTAGGCCTAGGCCCAGGCCCAGGCCTAGGCCCAGGCCTAGGCCTAGGCCCAGGCCCAGGGCCTAGGCCCAGGCCTAGGCCCAGGCCCAGGCCCAGGCCCAGGCCCAGGCCCAGGGCCTAGGCCTAGGCCCAGGCCTAGGCCTAGGCCCAGGCCTAGGCCTAGGCCCAGGCCCAGGCCCAGGCCTAGGCCCAGGCCCAGGCCTAGGCCTAGGCCCAGGCCCAGGCCTAGGCCTAGGCCCAGGCCTAGGCCTAGGCCTAGGCCCAGGCCTAGGCCCAGGCCCAGGCCTAGGCCTAGGCCCAGGCCCAGGCCTAGGCCCAGGCCTAGGCCTAGGCCTAGGCCTAGGCCTAGGCCTAGGCCCAGGCCTAGGCCTAGGCCTAGGCCTAGGCCTAGGCCTATGGCCTAGGCCTAGGCCTAGGCCCAGGCCTAGGCCTAGGCCTAGGCCTAGGCCTAGGCCTAGGCCTAGGCCTAGGCCTAGGCTAGGCCTAGGCCTAGGCCTAGGCCTAGGCCTAGGCCTAGGCCTAGGCCTAGGCCTAGGCCTAGGCCTAGGCCTAGGCCTAGGCCTAGGCCCAGGCCTAGGCCTAGGCCCAGGGCCTAGGCCTAGGCCTAGGCCTAGGCCTAGGCCTAGGCCTAGGCCTAGGCCCAGGCCTAGGCCTAGGCCTAGGCCTCAGGCCTAGGCCTAGGCCCAGGCCTAGGCCTAGGCCTAGGCCTAGGCCTCAGGCCTAGGCCTAGGCCTAGGCCTAGGCCTAGGCCCAGGCCTAGGCCTGTGGCCTAGGCCTAGGCCCAGGCCCAGGCCTAGGCCCAGGCCTAGGCCCAGGGCCCAGGCCTAGGCCCAGGCCTAGGCCCAGGCCTAGGCCTAGGCCTAGGCCCAGGCCTAGGCCTAGGCCTAGGCCTAGGCCCAGGCCTAGGCCTAGGCCTAGGCCTAGGCCTAGGCCTAGGCCTAGGGCCTAGGCCTAGGCCTAGGCCTAGGCCTAGGCCTAGGCCTAGGCCTAGGCCTAGGCCTAGGCCTAGGCCTAGGCCTAGGCCCAGGCCTAGGCTCAGGCCTAGGCCTGTGGCCTAGGCCTAGGCCTAGGCCTAGGCCTAGGCCTAGGCCTAGGCCCAGGGCCTAGGCCTAGGCCTAGGCCTAGGCCTAGGCCTAGGCCTAGGCCTAGGCCTAGGCCTCAGGCCTAGGCCTAGGCCTAGGCCTAGGCCTAGGCCTAGGCCTCAGGCCTAGGCCCAGGCCTAGGCCTAGGCCTAGGCCTAGGCCCAGGCCTAGGCCCAGGCCCAGGCCTAGGCCTAGGCCCAGGCCTAGGCCTAGGCCCAGGCCCAGGCCCAGGCCTAGGCCCAGGCCCAGGCCCAGGCCTAGGCCCAGGCCTAGGCCTAGGCCTAGGCCCAGGCCTAGGCCTAGGCCTAGGCCTAGGCCTAGGCCCAGGCCTAGGCCTAGGCCTAGGGCCTAGGCCTAGGCCTAGGCCTAGGCCTAGGCCTAGGCCTAGGCCCAGGCCTAGGCCCAGGCCTAGGCCTAGGCCTAGGCCTAGGCCTAGGCCTAGGCCTAGGCCTAGGCCTAGGCCTAGGCCTAGGCCTAGGCCTAGGCCTAGGCCTAGGCCTAGGCCTAGGCCTAGGCCTAGGCCCAGGCCTAGGCCCAGGCCTAGGCCTAGGCCTAGGCCCAGGCCCAGGCCCAGGCCTAGGCCTAGGCCCAGGCCTAGGCCCAGGCCCAGGCCCAGGCCCAGGCCCAGGCCTAGGCCCAGGCCCAGGCCCAGGCCCAGGCCCAGGCCCAGGCCCAGGGCCCAGGCCCAGGCCCAGGCCCAGGCCCAGGCCCAGGCCCAGGCCCAGGCCCAGGGCCCAGGCCTAGGCCCAGGCCCAGGCCCAGGCCTAGGCCTAGGCCTAGGCCTAGGCCCAGGCCTAGGCCTAGGCCTAGGCCTAGGCCCAGGCCTAGGCCTAGGCCTAGGCCTAGGCCTAGGCCTAGGGCCTAGGCCTAGGCCTAGGCCTAGGCCTAGGCCTAGGCCTAGGCCTAGGCCTAGGCCCAGGCCTAGGCCTAGGCCTAGGCCCAGGCCCAGGCCTAGGCCCAGGCCTAGGCCCAGGCCTAGGCCTAGGCCCAGGCCTAGGCCTAGGCCCAGGCCTAGGCCTAGGCCTCAGGCCTAGGCCTAGGCCTAGGCCTAGGCCCAGGCCCAGGCCTAGGCCCAGGCCCAGGCCTAGGCCTAGGCCTAGGCCCAGGCCTAGGCCCAGGCCTAGGCCTAGGCCCAGGCCCAGGGCCCAGGCCCAGGCCCAGGCCCAGGCCCAGGCCCAGGCCCAGGCCCAGGCCCAGGCCCAGGCCCAGGCCCAGGCCCAGGCCCAGGCCCAGGCCCAGGCCTCAGGCCCAGGCCTAGGCCTAGGCCCAGGCCCAGGCCCAGGCCTAGGCCTAGGCCTAGGCCCAGGCCCAGGCCCAGGCCTAGGCCTAGGCCCAGGCCCAGGCCTAGGCCTAGGCCCAGGCCCAGGCCTAGGCCCAGGCCTCAGGGCCCAGGCCTAGGCCTAGGCCTAGGCCCAGGCCTAGGCCCAGGCCTAGGCCCAGGCCCAGGCCTAGGCCCAGGCCTAGGCCTAGGCCCAGGCCTAGGCCCAGGGCCTAGGCCTAGGCCTAGGCCTAGGCCCAGGGCTCAGGCCTAGGCCCAGGCCCAGGCCCAGGCCTAGGCCCAGGCCCAGGCCCAGGCCCAGGCCTAGGCCCAGGCCCAGGCCCAGGCCCAGGCCCAGGCCCAGGCCTAGGCCTAGGCCCAGGCCCAGGGCCTAGGCCCAGGCCCAGGCCCAGGCCCAGGCCTAGGCCCAGGGCCCAGGCCTAGGCCCAGGGCCTAGGCCTAGGCCCAGGCCCAGGCCTAGGCCCAGGCCTAGG